GATTCTATGATTCTATGATTCTAAGATTAATTTTGACTAGGACACTTAAGGTAACACTCAGTCTTGTGAAAAGTATCAGGGGATCCTTAATGACCAGAGGACCTCAGCTCTGCAAAGAGTTTCCCCTACCACCTCTCCCTTCAGTTCATGGATTATCACTGGATTTCTGCCTCACTGGTTTTGACCAGGTCCAACCTTATCTTACGAAATTACAGCCCAAGTCTGAATGTTCTTTATTCAAAGAACAACATGGAAAGATGGTACGGTACTACGTAGAATATATTCTGCCGGCACACACCATATTCTACAGCAGTATGCAAGCTATCAGCATGGGAGGAAGCTTGATGAATTTTAATATGCCATTTTACTCTCACATAATGCTAGGTAGCATAGCACATATTCAGTTGATATGCATATTGATGAATGCTGGAAGATTTGCAAGGTAAAATGGTGGCTGGAAATGCACACCATGCTTACCAGCAGGTTTCCACAGAAATCAAATGTGAGTTCATGAATTATAGAACACTCAGTAAGTGTCGGTTTAAAGTATTTCATAGGAAGAGAGTCACTTAGCCATATCCACATTTGAAAAAAAAAAACAACAACAACAAAAAAACCCACCCACAAAGCCAGAAAATAATTGCCAATAATATAAATTCATTGCCATGTGAAAAGAGCATCCAAAGCTACCAAAAATGTTTTGGTATTTTCATCACTTAGAACACAATTTATTATAGAAAAATTTGAGGTAACTTTTCTGCCAAGTTTCACTCTGGCTAGATCTGAAATGGCTGACTTAGAATACAGACAAGAGCCATGGGTTTATAATAAAAGCTATGCTGGCTTCTACTCCCGACCTCGAGAGTCTTCTGATCAGCTACATACTATTGTGTTAGATACAAGAGTCAGTGCTAGCTCTGCCAGAGTGAATAGGAACATCAGAAGGTTCTCACTGCTGTGCTCATTACTACGGCAACTGAAACTGAGGTCATGTGATCTGTTTTAGGAAGTCTCAGTTCTTGTTGTAGTCAGATTCTGACATTTGTTCATAAAAGATCTCTTCAGTTTCCATTTGACTTTCAGTCACAATGATTTGCGCAACACTCACCCACACATACCTAATGTCTTTGTGTTAGCCAGGAGGGCCTCTTCATAAGAGAGGACATAATAGAGGACAAGCAGCTGGGCTGTGATACTGTAACGCTGATTAACACGAGCATTTTCTCCCTGCACATAAAACCAGAGGTCATGTTGCAATATTGCCCTTATTCTTAAAGGAAATGTTTGGACTCAGCAGAGAACACTGGGGGAGGCAAGGCAGCCAAGTTGAAGTCAAAGTGACATTGTAAAGCTAAATTTGGCCCCAAGTTTACTGTATTTTTGTTTTTAAAGAAGTAATTTAGAAAACTTCAGACCACTAAAAATGTTTTGACATCTTGGGCATTTCTACGGTTAGAAGCAAGTGCTGATTTGCCTTGGGAAGCCTGGAACAAACCCTTTATGAAAGATTCAGCCTCCCATTCTCACTCCACATGTAAACAACTGCTTCCCAGAAATGTAATATATGGCCCTTCTAATTAAAATTTGATCTTTAACCTGGGCGTATACAAGACAATGCAAGGATTGGTACTGTGAAAGCCAGCTTCATTTGACACTTCAATTTGTTGCTGGAAAGAGAAGTCATTATTTGAAACCCACATATTTAGCAAAGGCAAAGGTTGGTGGTGCTGCAAAGACAGCAAGTTCAGCATTTTCCGGGGAGCAGGACAAAGAGTGGCAACAATAGGATCTGAAGGGAACCTCGTCTGACCATCTTTGGCCAGAAAGGTACAGCTTAGGACATGGGGAGTAAAAGCAGGGAAACATAAAAAGGCAATGGCCAGATTTTCTAGCAAGTTTCCGTTCAACATATTGAAGACATTTCTGAATTGCCACTTCTGAGAACAGACATGCAATAATAATAAAAAAAAAAATTACCCCAGTGAGTCCTTGAAAAACATTCAAGATTTCCTGTTCTGTGACTGGCTGATTTGTGGCCTCTGGGTTAGATTTAGAAGCGGGAGTAAGAATAGAGTTAATGTAGACATCAATAAGAGGAAGTAACTGAGGATGAAGTGGTGTGGTGGTTTCACACAGCTGTCTATAAATCCAGTCCTGGAACAAACACATTACACTTAATAGCAGCATGTGAAACTAAAAATACTGTTCCTACTTTTAAGTGCAATTACAACTCTATTTTCCAAAGTGTTAATTTTGAAAGTGTGAATTTAACTGTCTAGTGGATCTAAATTCGTTTAGTTAAAATAAAGGAAAAGCATCAGCTCTGGACTGAGCAAGACATCATATCTCAAGGAGTGGGAGAGTTTCCCCATGCTGCATAGCTCTAGTAATACCTCTTGGTCCTATTCAGCAACATTCTTACTCTTCCTTCTTCCTGACTAGGATTTTAACAAGTTTACAAATGGAAGCTGGGATAAGTTATGTGTGACTTAATTAGGTTGTGATCACTGGTATACAGAGCTTAAAGCCTTGCACGCTAACCCAATGTACTCTACAAACCCCAGTTACCAGATAATGGTCGCTCACCAGCTCAACAAAGATTTCATTCAGACTGTAAATTTTTATTAAATTGAGAATACACAGAAACAGTAGAAATATGTATCCCTGTAGATTCCAGTTAGCAGCAGGAACTATTAATGGAACCTAAGCCCGATCATCATGCAGTTTTCTGGAATGTGAATGGAACAACTCTCATACCTTTATGGACACTTTGTGTTTGGTGAATGACCGGCTCCTTAGAAGCTGGTAGATACAGTGAATGGGCAAAAACCCAGTGATGTTGGCACTCAGATTTCCTGTTACAGGCACACGAACTGCATGGGCTGTGACAACCTGTGGGAAAAATTATAATATTCAAGAAAAATATTTTCATTCCTTCTTCATTATCAAATGATTTTCTAGAGTACTTGCATAAAACCAGTTTATATAAACATTACATACAAAGAACTCTGTTAAAAGACTACAGAATCAAGCGCTCAACAGTCAGGAAATGCCAGAATTAAAATTGCCTGTGAAACTCTAATTTGTCCACTTTATGCGTATGCAATACTATCATGTAATTAATGGCAGTTTCATAATGCGTATGCACAAGGGACCCAAATTAAAGTTTCACAGACCATTTTAATTCTGGCATTTCCTAAACTTTGAAGGCTTGATTTTGCAGCCTTAATGTTCTTTAAATGCCCTGTGTTTATGTGTAATTTCCTAGGTTTTTAAAAAGAGCAAACTATTAAACAAAACATGCAGAAATTCCATCATTTGGCGTAATACTGGCACCCACATGATTCATCAGCAGGGCTGGAACCTACAGAGCCACTGCACAGACCTCTGTCACTTCAGCTAATGGAGTAACTGATAGCAATAGTAGGTTGTCATCCTCTTTATGGACCAGCACTAGCAGGGGATGAGACTGGGCCAGTGGGTTTCAAAGATGTGTTTATGGTGGAGTAACGGTCAGATTCAGGAATCTTAGGTTTCATTCCAGGCTTGGAAGGGTGTGTGCTCAAGTGGGCATAAACTCTTAAGTCCATTTCCTTCCTCTGACCCCAAGCTCCAAAGCATGAGAAGCTCTAGCACCTCCAAAATGTCTTAACTATTTTGGCTTAAAGTTTAAAAAAAATAAAATAGCGCCACCTGAGGCAGAAACCCAGGATATAACATTTTAGTCCGAAGAGTTAATGTTTAGCAAAGTTATAATCATCTGAACACAAGGTCTTACAATGAGAAAAGTTGGACCATGTTATTAATGGTGCAATCAGCTCTGCCTATGATGTTTCAACCAACAGCCTCCTTTAAAAATGGTTTGCTCTTTGAAGAAAGATATGCTTACAGTCCTTTTTTCCACCTGTGATGCGTTTGTGCAGACATGGATTACCGTAGGTTTTGGGTTTGTTTGGTTTTTTTTTAAATCACCATCTCCACAAAAATAAGCAAAAAATGAAATCCAATTCTGCCAGTCCCACTCATGGGGAGCAGGGGCACACTGAAATCAGTGGGACTAATGACAAAGTAAGATACTATTCAACAAGGCTAAGGATGGCAGAAACAGGTCCTAAAAGATCTTCCTTCTCCATTAGATCTGCTACAATAACTCTGCAAAAGAGTGAATAGTCCCAGGTAAATTTTTAAAAGTTCATATTAACCTTCCGAAGTATAAAAAAAGTGTGATAAGACTAAGATACCAAAAGCAAGTGCAATAGTTGTTCTGAACCTTTTAAAGCAGTCGCATAGTACTACAAACAGAAATTAAAATGAAATGGTTAAAAAAACCCAAAGATTACCTGTTCAGTGAAAATCTCCTGCGTAAAGATGGTCTTCATTCTGCTCAGTGAACTGGGCTTAATAACAATCTGAAACAAATAATGAGGTGTTTGCTCTTCGGCTTTAAGATGTGGCTTGTTCAAATGTGTAATACATTATAAATAGCTTTTAGTGTTTAACCTATTTCAGCCTGCGACGACTGGAATCTGCCACTGCCTTTGTTAAGGCCATATTTCACACATTAAAGTAATACATCTGCAATTCAGTTTATTTTACATTCCAGTGTCAAGTTCAAGATTGTGTGTGTCTTCCCCACTCCGAAAATTCATTGCTACTTTTAAACGAAGTCAAACGCTCCCATAGGGGAAAAAACTGAATCCAAGACTCAGCTGATAAGTAAAACAGGCCGATTTTCAGATATTGCTTAAGAAGTTTACATGATATGAGACTTCTCTACGTTTTTTTAAATGAAAGATTTACAGTGCCTTTTAGAAAGGACTCTGCATTACAACTAGCAAACATGGAGTCTGTTAGAAAAAAACTGTGTGCACTGAGAACACAACGTTCATTTCAATAGGACAATTCTTTTTGAAAATACTTAGTTTGATATCTTACACACCTTTTAACACACAGAAGGCTATTATGTTAACAGGCATTCATGTTTCAATTCTACTAGTCGATATGCCTTTTGCTTTTATGCTAAGGAAATCTATGTGAAGATTCTTTATTTAAAGATACATTTGTTCAAGAACAAAGTAGAAACACAGATTTTCAGTTTTCTTTAGGTATCAAAGTCAGATAACACTGGAATAAAATTCACTTATTGATGGCGTATTTATAAGAGAAAAAAATTCATTTGGAGGAAGGCATTTAGAAGTTACCTTCATTCCCAGAGTAGAACAGACCAAATCAATGATTGCGCTGAGCTGATTGCTGTGGAAATACATGGCAACCAGTAAGAGCATCTCTCCAAAGGAAGCAGAAACCCCAGAAATGCTGTTGGAACAGAGATGAACAAGTGAGTTTCCAGAGAGGACACAAAACCTTGGCTTATCGGGTTATTTTGAAAATTAAGCTCTCACCTTTCAAAGTAGGCTTCTTCTTTTATCATCCAACTCAGCCACATTACCATCAGCTGCTCCTGTTCTGGGGTACTAAAAGAAATTCCAAAGCTGTTTCATTTCTAGAGCCACACATAATTTTACTAATAATCAGCAGACCCAAGGAGTTAATATTTAAGAACATACAACCAGAGCCAATAAACATGAGTACTTTTAAATTTGATAGCACCTACAGCAAAATCTGTATAAAAGTTCACCCTTATTAGGTAATTTCCTGTTTTGAGGGCATATCAAGGGACCCCCAAATACAAGAATTCTTGCTCTACCTTTATTAGAAGGCCACTTCCATTAAATAACTATTTTTGTCAACCCTTTGAGTGGTGGCTTAAGATACTCCCCAAACGCATTCAGTGGAAAAGGAATACAGAAGGCCTAGTCCAGGGGCTTAACTATAACACCCTGCACTATCACAAGGCAACGCACCCTAATGCCTGTACTCCACTTCCCAAAGCACTTTGCACTAGTGAGAGGTGGAGCATCATCAATTTATTAACCCCACCAGTGGTATAACCTCTTTCTGAAGAGGCTCCATGTCCATAGAGAATTAAAAGAGGAACAACTGGTGGAGAGTCCACATGCTTCTGCCCTGGCCATGCTCCACTAATATCTCTAGAAGGCTCTGCCTCTGTTGTTCTAGGTACCTGACAAGGGTGGAGAAAGCCAGGAGCATGCAGAACGAGAGCGATACAAAACGAACACCAGCTGGAGTCGCAGGAGGACGACTCGTCATTAGTTGAAGTAACTGTTCAGCTTCCTCATCCGTTGGTCTAAACAAGAACAAAATAAGTGAAGGACGTTTTCCCCCCTTTAAAAAGATCAATTTATCTTAAGGCAGAATGCATTTCCAACCTGGCTACACTGGTTAGAGACTATTTACGTTAGAATTACTACAATATCAATATATGGTTCTAGAAATTACTTGGAAGTTCTCTCTGGACTTAAGAATTCCAAGGTCATTGTTTTAAAGATTTCATTATAAAAATCTCTGCTTTAGAAGTCCTGAATAACCAGATAGCGATCTTATGTACTCACAATTATTACTATCATATACTCATACGATTAGAAGCCACATTATAAGATACTGTGTTATCATTAGTCTAGCCATAGAAGCAAACCAATATAAAAAATTAATTCAAAGTGAAAACAATGTATTTTGTGACATGACCCAATATAACCAGGATTTTCAGCAGTTTTCTGCCTTACATACTGCTCCAAAGACAGATTTCTACATTTTAAAATTAATTTATAGGAACTAATTTTATTACAGAAAAGGAACCAAGAGATTTCTCATATGAAACTCACTTTAGACAGTGACTTCTCACAAATGCATTCACCCTCACCAGTGGAGGACAGAAAGCTTTCCTGCCAAGAATGTAGCAGGAAAGGGAATTACACAGCTGTTTCTGTGGATTTTAAGCTATATATTTGTTCTGTCCAAAACAAAGATAAGGAACCTTTCAACAAGCTGGAAATTTCAACTCCAAAATAGGTAAGGAGACAAAGCAGGACAGAGCAAGCAGAGTATTCTCAGTCCTATGAAGGCAAGTCCCACTAGGTATGGACTAAGGACATTATGGCAGAGAAGGAAAGCCCAGATTGGAACTGCCTGAGGTTCCCAATAGTTGAAAGGTCTTATTTATTTTCAGATGGATAAACAAACAGCTAGTAAGAATACCAATAGCAAGAAAATATTGATTACTTCAGACCAGCGATCCCCATCAAAGCACAATAGAGACGTAACAACGCGCTGGCTTTCACAACATGCTCTTCTTTCAATCCAGAATACACAGATACATTTGGTTCCATGTCAGCATCTGCTTCTTCTACAATGTGTGTGCTGCGCACAGTGGGAAGGATCCCCATTAATTCCAGGAGCAATTGCCTTCTCATTTGCCAAAGCACAGAACTGACATTCTCCTTTTTTCGCTGTTGGAAAAGGTGAAAGAAGCAACAGTAATTCTAGGAAAACACATCAATCTGGCCATTTTACTACAAGGTACATTCCTAGTCGACAACAATTTTAGTGGAAGTTCATGCAGCCAAGTTAACAACAATCATTTAATTGGGTGGGCTGCGGCCATAGCAAAACTGCATCACGATGCTCTATTTCGGTGAAGTACAGGCATTAAATAATTGCAACAAACCAATGCATGACTTTCTACTGCTGGGTATGAAATAAACTGTAGTGAGACTGACAATGGGACTACGGTCTAAAACCATCTATGATCTAAAACCTTATTAGATCTATGGTCCCTCAGTCCACGTCTATGAGACTACTGTAAAATCACTGAGACAGCAAAGAGGGACCACCAGATGGCGCTCTTCAGTGATCCTATTCTAGAATTGGCAGACCCAAGGAGTGGCGTCCAGTCCTTTTCAGCTAGAGGAAGGTTTCCCATAAGTCATGCCTTGCAGCAAGGTGTAAAAACAGGATCACTGGGAACAACACACACACACACAAAATCCAAACTGTTGAACTTTATTTTTTACCAATTCTCCAGGAATTTTCAGATTCTCACCTGTTGTCCATTTCGGATAAAAGTCCCAAACCACGTCCGAACTTTTGCATTTGTTCCAAGAAGTAATCCACTCACAAAACATACCAGGTCACTTACTCCATCATCCGAAGATTCATTCTTTGTGTGATCCAGTGTCAAAGCCACACCAAGGCCTGGTAGATGGCACTCTTCCACCTAGCACACAGCCAAAGAAAGCCAGTCTCCATTTTACAAGTGATCCTTAATGGAACATTAGGAAAACAATTAGGATTCATGTACAATTTCATAATGAACCAATCGCAGGCTTACCACCATGCCTCGGATCCTCAGGGCCTGGGAAGGGTTCATTTTACACAGGTGTCGAAGCGCCTCTGTCCTACGACGGCCTCCAAGGCTTTCCTCATCTTGTCGTTCACCATTCTTAATCAAACCTCTACAAACTAAACATTATGGGGGGTCTGAAAAGCCGTATTTTGCACTGGACAGTCACTCAGACACAGCTCTGAGGAGCTATTTTGCTCATCATTTACTAGATGTATTACGGTAGCACCTAGCAGCCCAAGTCATGGACCAGGACCCCAGTGTGCAGGGTGCCATACAAACAAAGAAAAAAGACAGTCCTTGCCCCGAAGAGCTTATGTCACTACAAATTTAGGCATGATCCAACTGACCTCAGCTAATCATACCTGTATCTCCCCCTCTCAAACTGATATCAAGTGTTGTGCAGCAGAACCCTGTTTATCTGGTTTAATCGGGACTGGGGCCAGATCAGATCATCAAAACTCCGAATAAACCGGAGAATGGGAAAATGTGATGCTGCAGCACCATCTAGCAGCCACAGGAGAGATGGCCGACTTCTGGTCCTGGAGTCCTGGTTGTTCAGTAAATGCAGAGACCCGGAGATAAATGGGGTTCTACTATATTTGGCAGTTCTGGAGTCTCCAACAATGTAAGTGATACAGCATGGACAACAGCAGTGTAAGTTTCTCCCCTATTCCCACCTCAGTATGCCTCAGGCTGACCTGGAAGGAAAACTCAAGAGGCAAAAGGGAACGACCATACATTCCTTGGCCTCTCTAATCAGCATGAACTTTGATGAGGGCTTTCTGATAGCAATGCTCATATACTAGGAACTGGACCGATGTAGTCTACTACCTACCAGTGGTGTTATTTTTTTGTCACTATTGACTTGGGTCACATTCAAACTGGTGACCTAAAGATAAAAGGCTGCGTTTTAGGAATGCTGTGACAGGCAGAGCAGTGAGTCCCAATTCGGCCTCCTTGGAGAGAAGCAGTGGCCATACCACAGGAGAGCGTGAGCATTAAGTGAGGGAACGTAGCAGGACAGAAATGCCCCTAAGATAGACACAGATGTATCCAAACTAAATTTCTCCATGAAAGTGTCTCTGGGCTACTAGAATGTATACTACTTGGAATGAATTTCAGCCTGGAACCAATTTTTAATGCTCAAGTTATAAACTCCCAGAAAAAATACAGTGAACACCATAAATCACAGCCTACCTTCATTAAAGCTGTCAGGAACGTTGGCCACTAGGAGACACAGGAACCAGGCTCCATTTTTAACATGTAGCAGAGCTTCAGCCACATCCACTATGGGTAATAGCGAAGGTAGTTCTGAATGGAAACAGGGTTTTAGAAGCCATTGCACGCACTCACATGGTTCTAAGTGTCAATCTCCAGTTAGCATTGGGCTTTTAGGATTAAAAAATAGGCCATTTCTCCTTCAGAAGAGCTAGCCATTAGTTTTAAATCAGTTAAGATACTCCAGAAATTAGGGTGGACTTTTAAGTCTAAAACCATCTATGAAATTAGAACCAGTTTAGTGTTAGAGTGAAACACTGACAAATTTAAAAATAGCATTACTCAAAGCTTCAGAAATACAGAATAGCGCACCTGCTTGTAAAATACAGAGAACATCTGCTGCTTCCTCCAAATAGACAGGACTTTCGAAGAGTTCGGACGACTTGAAGAAAAACTCACCATTTGTCTCCACAACCTACAGCAAGAAGTTGTTCATCATAGTACAAGCTTAATAAGGTGACTAAATAACATAGCCATTGGTTTCCATCAAATTCACATGGATTTAAACTCAATAGAATGCGTATGTTAAGAATGGTCAAGAATAAACTGAATATTTTGTCAGTAATCAGTTCTGCTTTTACAAAATTTCTCAAGAACCACAGAGTTGCTCATAATATTTGAGCATGTAACTGTAATTACAGTGAACAAAAGCAGCCTCTGAATTTTCACATGACAAAGAAAAAGACCCAACACCCTCAGGGGTTCTTAAACTGGTGGTTCATCTTTTGGGAACAGCTCATTAGTCTAAAAACCATGGCTGTGATTAAAGCCAACAGCTCATCATTAAATCAAAATGACACATAGGGTATTAAAGAACCTCAAATGCCTGAAACCCTGTGTACTGATACTATATATCTATAGATATATCCCCAAAAAATTAGTTTTCTATTAACTCACTACGCTTTCTGTTAAGTGTTCTTAATACATATACTATAGGAGTAAAATATTTCAATGTGGTCTGGTAGCATAAAAGGTAATTAACCTGCTTATATCATCATCAGTAAGGCTATGATTTTGTCATGGATATTTTTAATAAAAGTCAGGGACCGATCACGGGCAATAAACAAAAAAATCACGGAAGCCGTGACCGGTCCATGACTTTTACTAAAAACATCCATGACAAAATGGGGATAGAAGAGGGTCCAGCATCCTCCCCCACACCCTGCAGCAGCTGGGAGTTGCAGGGACCCCATTGCTCAGTGGCTAGGAGAGGTCCCCTGCCCACGGCCACTGAGCAGCTCCGGGGTCCCTCTGCTGTCGGGAACAGCGGCTGGGAGCTGCGGGGGTGCCCCGGCTGCTCGCAGGGGCTGAGATGCTGAAAGGAGGACCCCTGCCAGCAGCGGCAGCTAAGCAGCTCAGAGGTCACCGCTGGTGGCGACAACTGGTCAGTTGCAGGGGGTCCCGCCACCCGCCGTTGCTGGGCAGCTGCGGGAGAGTCCCCTCGCCGCGCATGGAGGCTGGGCCACTGCGGGGCCCCCAATGTCACAGAGGTCACTGGAAGTCACGGATTCCATGATTGCTGCAACCTGCGAGACATAATCTTAGCCTTAATCATCAGTTATAGCACAACTAGCTGCTAAATTTTGGATCAATCATGCTGTAACGCTATAACAGATGTGTGCATTTTTATGGGGAGAAGGAAGAATTAATTTATAGGAGAAAAATTACTGTTCTAGTTGAAGTAGAGTTATAGAAATAGCAATAATGCCTACTATATATTAAAATTGAAAGTACTTTTTCAAACTTAAGAGCATTGTCCACTGACAGTTGTATAAATCTGATAAATTCCTAGGTGGAAAAGTAAAATAAAGACCAATATGGAGGGTGGAAGGGGTCAGGCAACATTTGCACAATAAGCTATGAGTAAAATTTTCAGGAGTGCCTACACCACTTAGGAGCCTAACTTCCATTTTCAAAGGTGACTTAGGCACTTAAAAGCCTTCAGGCTTTTGCTGTTAAGTGCCTAAGTCACTTAGAAAAATCTTATCCCTGGCCTTTCAGTTCTAGAAAGCTGGATTCACATGGGGTTTAAATTACCAGCAGAGCTAATCTAGACAATTTAGCATGATTGACCATTTCTGCTTGACAGTGGCCTGGGATTGGAGGTCAGTATTCAGATGCACTGGCAAGGCCAAATGCAACATGCACAACATTAGACTGCTTTTTGCCAGGTTCTCAACACTGCCATCTATCAGAGGTCTTCATTTGCACCAATACCAAATTTACAATCACTAAGGAATTAAAAAAAAAGACATTCACCTTATTCATAATTGCCAATAATTCACTAAGCACAAGACGAAGCCGACGAGGTGAATCACTGTGCTCGAACTCCAAGGTCAGACCATGCTGAAGTTGTGACACCAAGATGCTTTCTCCACCACCTCCTCCAAGTTTGTGTCTAACAAATAATTAAAAGGCAAAAACAGCTGTTTAAAAAAATAAGGCATAGAAACCAGTAGCCTTTCTAGTTATTCTGTTCTATATGGTATCAGAGGGGTAGCTGTGTTAGTCTGAATCTGTAAAAAGCAACAGAGGGTCCTGTGGCATCTTTAAGACTAACAGAAGTATTGGGAGCATAAGCTTCTGTGGGTAAGAACCTCACTTCTTCAGATGCAAGACCTCACTTCTTGCATCTGAAGAAGTGAGGTTCTTACCCACGAAAGCTTATGCTCCCAATACTTCTGTTAATCTTAAAGGTGCCACAGGACCCTCTGTTGCTCTGTTCTATATAGGTTCTTATACCATGCTCATCACCATAGTATCTCAGCACTTTAAATATTAAAGAAAGAAATAAGACAACAATCTACACTTGTTTTGCTGATTCTATGAAACTTCCTTGATGGTCTTCTCAGGCCAATAGAAGAGTTATGAGGTTAATGACATTTTCAAATCTCATTCAATAGGGAAAAATGCACATGACAAATGCTCAAACGCACTGTCAAAACACGGGTGCCTCTATCCCCACTCAACACACAGACCACAACCAAAGATAACAAGTGCATCCTTATGGTTCCAAGGGATGCCATCCACTTTGAGGATGTCCCTATTTCCCATAACCCTCAGAAGCCTTGAATTCCAACACTTAGTCCTTCTGGTTAAAGGCGATCGGACAGGACTGCCTTTGGAGGACATCAGTGCCCCCTTGTCTAGCTTTGGAGATGGGGAGAGAACATTAAGTTACTGAGAAAAGCAATAAATCCCACCACCATCGCTGCGTGCTGACCTATTAAGCCCAAGGTACAAGAAACTCGCATGGGATGTGAAACAGCGTTTTAACACAGTGCCACTTGAACATGAGGACAGGCCAATGGCAACATTCAGATGAAATAGTCGTAAGTACACATTTCTAAACAATCATTAAAAAAAAATAAAGGTATACTTTTAGCTACCTAAGCTGCTGCTCTTTGTTCGCATCCTGCTCCAAGGCATGAAAATCCACAGACAACAAGGCAACAATTGAGTTGACAGCTTCCACTCCCGAAAGGAGTCGAAGAATAAGTTTTTTATCCTGAGCCCAACTTTGGCTCTGATCAGCTGGGGCACAAAGAGCCATTCGCACCAGGCAAGGCAATAAAAGCCTTAGCTCTGGATCACTTAGTGCTGCCAAGCGCACAACATCCACCTTCTGCATTGCTTCAAATGCATAGGGGCTGACAAACTGAAGGCCAGAACACTCTGCCATTTTTACCACCAGTCCTAAGAACAAAACAAAGATACAATTATCATCAGAAAAAAGATAAATGCTTCATTTGTATAGGGTGCATCACAGCTTTTGACAGCTCTGAGCAGGTAAATGTGGTCTAACAAAGCAAAGAACTAGGAATCAAGATTATTGGGTTCTGTTCCTGTCTCTGAGGGTGTGTCTGGGTCTAGGGGTTGGAAGAGGGAGTCCGCCTCTGAACTCCTGCATTCTATTTGCAGCTCTAGGAGGGGAGGGAGGTCTAGTAATCAGGGCTCCCAGGTGCTATTTTCAACTCTTACTAAGAGCTCACATGAAGTTACGTTTGTGAGCGTCTCCAAGATGGTTTGAGATCCTGGGACACCAGGTCTCCAGGACGGGACACGCCTCCAACTCAGCCAAGAAACCCCTAGGAGCCAAAACAGGGATTTATTATAACTGCATTCATCTCTGCCACTTCTATTACAGCACCCTCACCTCAGACCCAAGGGCAAGGAAAGCAAGAGGCAGCAGTGCCAGTGCCGTGGGAGGGGAAGTAACACGACTTGCCCAAGGCTGCAAAGCGAGACAACAATAGGGCCGGGAACCCTCCTTCAGGGGCTACGGTGCCTCGCTCTTAGCCCTCCACTGAAAGCAGAACCCAGGCGTCCAGACCCCAGCTCTGAACCGCCCTCCTTCCAGAGTGGAAACAGGACCCTTCCCCCTCACGACCAGGACCCAGGCGTCCGGGCCCTCGTGGGGGGGGCTCTAACAGCCTCTACCCACGACCAGGACCCAGGCGTCCAGGACCTCCCCAGTGGAGCGGGGAAGAAAATCCCCGACTCCAGCTAACCTGTGACTGCCCCCCCCCCCTCGCACCGAAACCGGCTCGGCTTCGCCCCGCCCATACCGCCGCCGCCGCTGCTATCTTCTGGCGAGGAAGTCTGACGCTCGTCCCCCATTGATGACATCACACTCACCCACTCCAATTACGTTGTACGGCTCACAGGCGCTCCTGGCTCACGTCAGGACGTAGGAGGCGGAGCCATGGGCGGGAAAATATTGAAACCAGCGGCGGGGCTGAGAAGCAGCGAATAGGCGGGACAACTGGCAGGCGCTCAGGAAGTGACGTCAGGCGGCAGCGGCTGCTTTCGCTCGGGTGGGGGCGGCCGGGGGCTTGAGCGTGGAAAGCCGTTGGTGGTGACGTCAGCAGAGGGCGTTTGGGTGGATGCGGTCTCAGAAAGGGCTCGAGCCCAACTGGCGGATTTCCGGGGTCAGTCAGAAAACGCGTCTCCCCCTATGGCGTGAAGCCCGCGCGAAGCCCGGCTCAGAGTTCGCCTGGTACGCGAGCAGGCCGGGAGCGCGGCCAGGGGCAAGAGCGTTTGACGCGCAACGTAGGAAAAGAATAAAGTGGCGACAAGTCCCACGTCGTGTGGGGAAGTTATAAAACGACTCAGGTTTAAAGGGTCGGCCTTGGCGACGCAGGGGCTGTTCCCACGCACGTGCTAAATGTTAAAAACGTAGTAAAGTACGTCACTCCTCCAGCCCCAAAGGAACCATGGGGTCAGGAATAAAGTGACTAGCACCTGTGTCACCTTAGCCTAGATGCTGCATGTTGGCTACACCCTTTTTAACCTCGATCTTAAACGCTGAAGATCAAATGTTTTGTAAGTGAAGTGTGGTGGCAGTAGAGCAGAACCGCCGAGTTACTAACAGCTCGGCCAGGGGTATTTCAAGAGCTCTCAAACCTTTACAACTGAACATTGACTTAATATTGTTTTGAAACTTCATTATGCAGAAGAAAAATGGTACTTTTAACCATCTTAATTTAAATTTGAAACAAGCACAGAAACAGTTTCCTTACCTGGGCCATTTTTAAAATTTAATTTTCCCTTTATTTTTCTAGTCGTTTACATTTAACACAGTACTACACTGTAGTTGTTGGGTTTTTTGGCCTCTGCTGCTGCCACATTGCATAGTTCTGGTTCGAAATGAGGAGGTGGTTGACCGGTCAAGTTGTAATGCTGAGGTTCCACTGTATAATCTGTCTCTGCTACATGTGAAAAGGGCCATTAGTTTGGTCATTTTCCACCCAAATAATAATAAGCTACAGCTCTTTTCTGTTGTATAAAGAAAGGTGAGTGTTGGAAATAAAGAGACGCCACAATCAAGGCTTCATGAATAATTTATTCCATTTGAATTTTTTTTTAAAAGTATAAACTTTTTCATTTCCTCAATCACAATTTGTACAACTCAGTGTTTATGGCATTCGGCAGCAATAGTGTTTGTTCCTTATTTGATTTTATGTCATATTAAATAAGACGACTTGGACCATTAAATGTCACTGCTGAGTGAGACCTTGAAAACTCCCCTTAAAGTGACCCAGCTGTTTTGAGATTTATGAAACTGACATGTCCAGTAATGATGCCACAATTTGCAATTTAAACCCAATAGCTTTTCAAGGTCCTCAAATCCAGTTCATTTGGATAACCTAAAGCTACATTAAAACTTCCTGAAAAAGTGACCCTGAGGATTATTGTAGGTCCCAAATCCAGTTTTACTGTAAATGAAGTTTCACTCCATTGAAAATAAAGAGTACACCACAAATAAGATTTTCTAAATATAAGACATAGTTCTGAATCCTTCAATTAAGATGGAGAAAATTAATTTTTCCACCTTAGAATTTGTGTCAAAATAGTTTGTCATACAATTTCACGTAAACTGAGAAACTGAGTTCTCAGAGGAAACCCAGACCAAAACATTGTTTCATGTAACATTACATGGATATTAACAGACTGATATGCTATACCATAGACTGTTGCGCAGCAAATTATATGGTGCAATAGCATTTAAAAAACCTTTTCATCTATTAAATTTGAATGTTTTTAAATAATGCAACATAATATTTTGATAGTACAGTATTAACCAATAGTGCTTGATTAAAGAGATCTGCAAATCTTTGTAGCAACACATGAAGTTAAAAGTCACCATAGAAGGTAAATATGAAGATGAAAAGAATATAGTAATAGAGTGATCTGTGCCATACTGACAGCTGAGCAAGAATATAGCTGAGGATTTTAGTGATAACTTTAATTTTAGCCATTTCAGAAAATGTTAGAAAGTTTTAAAAATTACAACTACTTAAAAATTTAAGGATTGTAAGTAAGTACACTTGGTGGCCCACTGGCCAAACAATAATGTGTACAAGAATCTAATTCATACAGTGTTAAGTCCAGATGAGTGAATGGCTTGCATAAAGAGAGCATGGCTAGATTTTTTTGACTGGCTGGAAGGATACCATATGTGGCTATCATTTGAAAACCAAAATACTTAATAGGTGAACTTCCACAAAATACTACTAAACAGAGAGCTGCACAGACCAACACTAGGAACAAGCATTTTGAGAAGTTGCTGCCCAAACTGTCAAAGATCTGTATAAACTCTGCTATAAAGCTTGCACCTTCTGATCAACTCTGCTGTTAACAGGCTGTAACAATATAATTGTTGTCAGTAATTAGTCATGTCCACTTTAAGAGAGGAAGGGTTAATCATTACAAAGAAATTTGATTTATAAAGGTGAAAGTAACTTATTTAGAAGTAAGCCAAATATGATAGTTAGCTCCTTGGCGCTGGCAGTTTTGATATGTACACTGCTGGCAATGAATGCCACTAGGAAGACACAGTCTCCCAGTACAAATGGTTTCTAAAAACACTTCAAAAAGGGGGCTTCTGATATTTTCTAGTGGTTAATTTATCAGTTTATATTTCTGACTGCATTGGAAAAACTTTTACGGGCAGTTTTTCTATACAGCTGGGGAATTTCAGAGTACATTCATTTAACTATATAGTATGAACTGGACCTCAGCATTCAGGCAGCTGGCTCACTTATGAATACAAGTCACAGTCAGATTTTAAAACAGCCCACTTCCAACAAGTTCCAAACTAAAGAGGTGTGTTAACATTAAGACAGGTTTTGAAATCAGCCATCTGGCAACACTGAGCTAAAAATATTGGATGTAAGTTTTGAAAATTCCAGGCTTAGGAGCATCTTCCTCAAAAATCTCAGCCACATTGAAAAGAAAAAGCTGCTATTGAACAAAATATGCTAGTCAACATGTGGTGTTGTTTTCGCATAATCAAAAATTAATGCAGAGACCCAATTTTTTTAACTTTAATATCAAAATAGGCTGACATCTGATTGCAGTACTGTTATTTTGAAGAAATGATTGAAAAAAATCTGTCACCAATTGTACATTTTCTTTATACAAAATAAGACTGCTAATATTGTATATATAGAATATTAGCAAAGAGGTTATGTTTGTTCACATGAAGTGATATTTCAGGAAAATATTTTGTAGTTACAAAACATGATTTTCAGTAAGATACCAAATTTAGTTTTGTAAATACAAGTGATTTTTTATCCTTGTAGAGGATTAACAGTGGGTGCACAAAGGGATTTTAAAACTGGCTCCTTAAAGACTTTATGGGCAGGATGGATAGTTCAAGTTGTCCAGTGAGACCCAGGTGCTAGGCTAATGTGGGTTCTCACATCAGATTGACAAGGGCACCGCAAGAGTAAGTTTTCTGTCCGGCAGTCAGGAGGTGAGGAACAAAGGAAGGAATTGCTCACGAGCACCCGTAGGGGCCATTTTAGAGCATTACAGATTTGGCATGTGCAAGTCAAGGAAGGAAGTGTTAGGTGAGGGGAAAATGGTGATTGTAGAGGAAGAGGCATACGAAAGTTCCATGACTCCCGAGTCCCTTCCTTAGGGAGGCTTGAGCCTCATTGGCACATGCCCTGGCTGGAATCTGGAGGGGAAAGTCCATACACTGGTGCCTGGGATCCTTACCACAGTGCCAACAATAGATTAAAAAGGAAAAGGAAAATGCTTCTTTCACCAGTGGAATAAAATCTGAATACCAGAATTCACTGAAAATCTATATACACCACATTTTAGTCAAACACACACCAATCTTAAAGTCAAGATTGCCTGGTTTTGCATTTGTAAAATGGCTAGAGCTGGGCGAAATTTCAGCCTATAGGAAGAGTCTTTGGGGCAATTTCATTATAATGTTTTTCTATACCTACATGTTCCATCTGATTTGTGATGAACACAAGTCTTACAGAACATGATGCAATTCCCACTATGCCAAAAATTCCTGGTTACCTACACTGGGTAGCAGAGATTCTTGTAGTAATAAATCTTTCCACGGTAAAGGTCTGAAAAATTGGCCACAGCCCTGAGCCATAACACAAAATTAAATTGACGAGTTTATTCATTTTATTCTCACTACAAGTTAAACCACCTACAATATCACTTATATATTGCCATTATGTTACTCTGTAAAGGTGTGATATAAAATGCTGTAAGACCCGGTACCTTTTCAATTTATATAAACACAGTGAACTTCATTACTGTACATGTACTCTGCAACTACAGCTTAGCTGTAAATCCCCCACACACAATGGTATGGACATTAACCCCTCTATCCCCATTAAACTGTACATCAAGACAATACAAATTTACTGTCCCCTCCCACCCCCTTACAAAAAAATAATACTCTAAAAGCAACCTACTGCAACTTTTAATTAAGACGATTACATATATTTTAGACCAATTGCTTTAAAGCAAGAAGGCAGTATAAACCTTCTAGGAAAATTTTTATAAAAGAGGTTAAGAAATATAAGACAATTTATACATTTAAAAACTTACAATAAATAAGAGATGCAGGCATTTTCTGAATACTAGGTACTATAATCCGATACAAGAACATCTTGATGTTCTGAAG